GGGTTTAGGGTTTAGGGTTTAGGTTAGGGTAGACCCTAAAGCACCTGCCTTTTGAAGGACGTCTATAAGGATCCCTAAAAAGGTAGGTTCTTTATAGACCCTAAAGAACCTACCTTTTGAAAGATTTTAATAAGGAAATCATAAGAAGGAGCCCTAAAGAACCTACTATTTTAAGGACTTCTATAAGGAAGCCATAACAAGGAGCCCTAAAAAGGTAGTTCTTTAGGGTCCAGGTAGGGCTTAGTTAGGGTCGTTTGTGTCAGGCAAGGGAGGTTCAGATGTCATGGCTTTGGGTTTTTGGAGCTTGGGGCTGAAGATCAGAGTTTAGATGGAGGTTCGGGGTTTATGGCTAGCCAGGATTTGCGCATGGGGTGCATGCCACAAGAGCCCTTGGATTACGTACAGGTTCCCTAAGCCTCCAAGCAGCAGGGGACATGGTTTCGAGATGTTTCGAGTTTGTGGATCGGGCGTTCTTTGCTTATGAGGCGGTTTAGGTGCGCCCAGCTGCTGAGTCTCTGAATACGGAATGAAGGTCCAAGCTCTCCGATTTCGATGGGCTTAGGACCAACCCATGAACCAACGAGTTATTATCTACGAATGCTCTCAACTCCGATGAGTTTGGGCTCCCTTCCTAGTAAGGATTGAGAGATTCCCCAAGTGCCCCAAGCCATAAACACTAACCCCATAATCCTCTCCACCGAAATCCCATACGCACAACTCAATTCCGTAAGACCCACCCACCCACCCACACCCACCCACCCACCCACCCACCCACCCACCCACCCCCCACCCCCCACCCCCCACACACACACACAAACACAAACACAAACACACACACACACACACCAAAGTCTACAAGCCAAGAACAAGCAAACAACACCTCCGACAAATCATACAAGCTAAAACAACCTTTCCCCCGTGCTACTCCTGTTCCCTTTTACGATTTCAGAGTATATTAGCCATAAAGTTGGAACGGTATACTTCTCATGCCCTTAATAGCATAAGTGATCCTCGCACAAATCATCCTTAACCCAACTTTCTGGGGTTGCGGGCAGGGCTGCAGGAAATGCTTGCCGACAGAGTGTCAGAGCCCAGCTTAGTACGAATCCTAATACAGAGATACTTGGACGCTACGAAACAGCTGTAAAATACTATAATGTATTATTATATTATACCACAATATGCTTTAATACGGTGACAGCATAACATCTGCCATATTTAGTGGTTTAGAGTAGCAGGTTTCAAGAGATGTTTAGGGCTCAGGATTTCGGCGTGGATGCCTTAAGGTCAACGCCCTGGGGCCATGCCAAGAGTCGTAAAGTAATGTAGGGGCCTTCATAATGACCTAGAATATTTTGGCGGTTTCTTATTCTAAGTATGGTTTAAAATATCCCAACGCCCTATTCTAATTATTGAGGCTCTTACATTATGTTAGGTTTTGAAATTGAGTTGGGTTGAGGGTTGAGGGTTGAGGGTTTAGGTTGGTTTGAGGGGCTCGGGTTCCGAGTTTAAGCTGCAGGGATGTGCGAAGACGCAATGCTTGAAGGATGCAAACTCCAAGACACGAGACAAAACCATGTTGAAGCCTGTGCCTAGTTTAGTGTCGAAAAGCCTACGAATAGAAACGGTTTGGGCTTACACGGAGCCCCGGATACGGATCTTCCAGAATAGCTTCGACTGTTCTGATTAGAAACTTATAAACCCGAAACCCCTACACCCTAAAAATGACCAGCATCAGCTTGCGCGAGGCAGTCAGGGCTATTCTGGATGGGGACATGGAGAAGCTACGCCAGGCCAGTTCTCCGCAGACTGGCCACTCATAAGCTCAAACAGTCAAAGCTCTCAAGCATACATATGTTGCACGTCGTAAGTTGTGTTTGTATTAACGTAATGTGTATGCAGATGTATATAGGTACGGAGGGTAGGTAGGGTAGGTAGGGTAGGTAGGGTAGGTAGGGTAGGTAGGGTAGGTCGGGTAGGTAGGGTAGGTGGGGTAGGTGGGGTAGGTGTAGGTGGGGTAGGTGGGGTAGGTGGGGTAGGTGGGGTAGGTGGGGTAGGTGGGGTAGGTAGGGTAGGTAGGGTAGGTAGGGTAGGTAGGGTAGGGAGGGTAGGTAGGGTAGGGAGGGTAGG